ATATATATATATATATATATATACACACATATATACATATATACACACATATATATATAATGCACATAACTAATAAACTACACAGGTTGTGTGACACGTTATTACATAGGTAGTGGGTGACATTGAGATCAAATTATGAATTATGATGCAAGGTAGATACATAGATACTGTGTTCACACATGATACAGCGACATAGTACAGCAGCAATAAACAATACACACAGTCACACAGCCTGAAGCTAAAGGTCATGCTGCGCACCTGTCAGCCTGCTCTGCCCTCTCTTCGGCTCGTTCCAGCTCGCCTTCCACCATCACCAGTTTACGGGCCACCTGTCAATCAAACATCACGTGACATGTTGACACTTTTCTGTTCACCCGTGTGTGTGTCTGTGTGTGTGTCTGTCAAGTCAAGGTGTCATTCACACTAGAGAATGACATTTTTTTCGGGAGTACCCCCGGTAACGTGATTCCGGCGGGACCGGAGCCAACCTCATTATAACTCACGTGACCGGGACGTGACCGGACTGAAAGCTAACGGGAGCAGACAGGAGCGAGAACCGACCAATAACCAAAAATAAAAATGAAACAAACAAACAAAAACAACACGGGCGCAGCTTTTTTGTAGTTTTCTTTCAGTAAGCCTTCACTTCAACACAAGTCAAAAGGACTACATTTCCCAAGAGTCAACTGTTCGAGCCGTAGCTTTTCACCGAGAGGGGGAGGAGCAGCGAGCGAAGTGGTACCGAGTCTGAAAATAGTCTATTAAACTCATGGAACAGGCAGGAAAATGTCAAATAACCTGAACTTCATAAGAGTTGTGTTGGTGCTGTGCTGATTTAAACTTTATTCTCAGCTGTGAGGAGCTGCGGGGAGTTGGACTTTGTTTACCTTCAGTAAATGAACAGACTTGTTAAGATATTTCTTATTTAGACTGGTCCTATGGTTTTGATCTGCTCAGAGACGGGATTATAATGAAATTATGACCCGGTTCTGACTGGGTTAAACTGGGCCAGCAGCTCTCAAGAGAGTCTCCCTGGGATTTCAATATCAGTCAAATAGTTTAATCTGCTTGCCACATCACGTAGAAAGGCTTTGAAGCACCGTCTCATATTTCCTAACAGTCAGTCCACATAAGACCACACTTAGCCACGCCCCCTCTTACACTGATAGGAGCTCCCCTTCTGCGAAAGGAGGAGTCATAGGACCCCATAAATTAGTGATGACACAGGACTTCGGGGCTCTTCCAGGTCTGTGTACGCGTGACAGTCCGGAGAGTCCAGCGTTGTAAAACTGTAATCTTCTTCTGCCTTTTTAATATAATTGATAAAACTTAATTGACGTTTCCTTGATTTATTGATAGTATGAGTTGCCACTTCTGAGAGAGATAGAACCAGAGGAAGAGGTGGGGGCTGGCTGAGGGTCCAGGGACAGAGAGGAAGCCTGAGGCCCACAGCTAGCCGTAGCTAGCTGCAGTGACTGACGACCCGTAGTCAGCCCCGCTTTTGTCTCCACCTTGTCCCTTTTAGTTAAAAAATTATGCTCTGCTTTGTTATGTGGGTTTTTAGGTTAAAATCTTCATCATCTGTTGCCGTTTGTAATGTCAAAAGCCCCCCGAACTCTTCCTGGTTAAAGTGCACGCATTCTCCAGTAGGGCTGCAACTAACGATTATTTCAATAATCGATTCATCGGTCGATTATTTTTTTTGATTAATCGATGAATCGGCAAAAAAACCCACAACGTTTTAATTTCCACCCCTTTATTCCGAAATTGAACATTTGACTGACATAGCAATTCACACAAAAAACAGGTTGCTATTTGACTAATCTGTTAGTAAAATATTGAATAAAAAAAATAAAAGTTAGTCAAATAGTTTAAAAAAACAAATGTACACAAAAATATATACAAATGTGTCTTTATACCTGCACAATATGTAGCTACTTTGTAAAATGTGTCCTTGAGGGAAGAGTGTAACCTGGATTAAAAGTGTGGATTACTGTAACCTGGATTAAAAGTGTGGATTATTGTAACCTGGATTAAAAGTGTGGATTATTGTAGTGAAGCGTTCGTCTTCAACCATGGACAGAGGCCTCATGTCAGTGACGATCATGTTCAGGATGTTTCAGTGAAGACAGCTGCTGCTGTGGTGTCCATGATGTCTGTCCATCATGAAGTGTTGTTGTTGTTTGTTGTTGTTTTCTGGAATGAGAGAGTAAATATGTTTTATATCATAATTTACAGCAACTCAAGAAATGACTTGTTTCACTTACAGCGTTAGGTTCAGGCAAAAGTCAAAAGTAGCTAAAAGAGCAATTAAACACACACACACACACACACACACATATATAAAATACTTAATTACACACATTTGAGTAGATGTAATAAATTACTTTAATTCCTGTTTAAATGCAAATCATCCTGCCATACCTGCAGTGTCTTCAGACTTTGCCAACAAATTAAAAGTTGAAGCTTAATCATTAAATTATTATCTTTGTGTTAGATTTATTTATAAATCCCATTTAAACACTGCTTGTACCAATTAAATTAAATAAAAGGTAACACACACGTTCTGTATCACCGTCATTAATCAGCAAACAAACAAACAAACAGCTTCATCTCCAGACAGACTGACGTTACATTTTCTCTCTTGAAACAGAACAATGTGTTAAATTGTAGAGACTCACCTGCAACACATGAAGAGTTGTATCAGCTGCAGCTCCTTCCTCCTCCTCGTGACTCCCACATGTTTACGTTTTATCTCCGTGGTTCTCTCGTGTCGAAGATTTTCAAAGCGTCATGCTTCTTGTTTTTTATCTTTGTGAAGTTCTCCCACTCTTTGGAGGACTTGGGTTGAACAGTTTTCACTGCGTTGGTCATTTGTAAAATTTCCTTAATTTCCTTTGAAAACAACCTCTGCTTTGTTTCCCCCTCGCTCTGTTCAACTCGCGCTGCAGTTTTTTTTTTCAAACTTTATTCAGTCAGTCAGCATTGACAATGAACTGCCCGTGAACAAAAGGAAACGGCTCCGCAGCGCCGTGAAAGATGCATAATCGCGCGACACAACGAATCGATAATGAAATTCGTTGCCAACGCTTTTAATCATCGATTTTTATCGATTTTATCGATTCGTTGTTGCAGCCCTATTCTCCAGTAAAAATATCCCAGTTTTTATATGAAAGTCTGGTTACATATAAATTATAATAACTGTTATTGTAGGGGGGACATATCGGTGCGAGGTCTGTGGGTCCTCCCCATAACTTTTTAAATAAAGCAGCAGCTATTTACTGCATTCTGGTGTATTTTAACAGGTTTTAAAACATCTATGTTTACCTACATAAGTAAATACTTGATTCAATAAGTGTTTCATAAAGCATGGCACAAGAAGTAGCACTAAGCTTTTTGTTTGTCTTTAATTTAATTTTATTTTTCTACCTAACACAGGAAGCTGTTAGCTCTGGAAGCAAACTGTTAAACAGCTTTGGACACAAAGACCCTTGTCCCACACTTCAACAGAGCAGGTAAGATACATAACATCTTGTAATCTCTGCCTGGTGAGGCTGATTAAGTAATTATAAAATATAATAAGTGAAATGAATAAAGAAAAATGAGCTTCTGTAATTTATATTTGCAAATGTCACATTTTCTTGACTTAGTTTCACTTGTAAATCTCTTGTTTTTGATAAAATATTTATTTCCAAAAGAAAGACCAACAGATTGTAACTTGTAGTCACTGTGACCGTATTTTGACTCGTGCACGTCTTCTGTCACTTTTAGGTTCCACAAGGCTCTGGACTGGTCCAGCTGTGGAGAGATGAGGTGGAACACCAGACCTGCAATGGTCCAGTCTGTAAATGATGCTCTGAAGTCTGGGAAGATGCACGACATCATGCTTCACCCAAACGAGCTCGTTACCTCGACCACACACACTGAACTTCTTGAGGACGTCGTCCAATGTACAATAATGCCTTTAAACATTTTATTTTTATCACAGACATGTTCCTGTTTTTAGTTTTCTACATTCGCCTTAGAATCTAGCTGTTTTTTTTGTTGTTGTTACCTTTTCCTTTTAGCCATCCTATTTGTAAAAAAAAACAAAAAACCCTGCAGTATGACTTTTTATAACTGTTTATTGTTGTTGCTGTTGTCCATTGTTGTCATCTTTCTTTGTTAAATCAGGTCTCTCTTGTAAATGAGTCCTCGAGGCTCAATGGGATTTACCGTCTAAATAAAGGTTGATTGATTGATTATTTGTTGAGTTCTCTGCTTGGTACATGATTTTTCTTTGTTTGTTTAAACAATTTAAAATATGACAGTGATGTCACTGTTTAAAGGAAACAATTGTTCAATAAATTAGTCAAATGTAACTTGTTATGTTTGGGTTCTTTCATCTAAGGTAGACATGGTGTGACCCATGGACTGGTTTAGATTTTTTGTTTTTACTGGAACTGACCTTCAAAAGAGCCAGAAACAGACTCATCAGCTGATCCTCTGTAGAAACATTATATGGACTACAGACCATGGATTATTTATTTTATGATATTTAGTGAAGGTTTTTGTTTGGATTCAGGAAATAAATGTCTCTATTTCACCACAGATGAACTGTTCCTGTTGACATATCTTTTGAAATAAAACTGCACAACACAAAGTAATTTAAACAGGAATGGGTAGAAGATCAAATCAAATTCAGGAAATGTATTTCCTAAAAATTAAATGAAAAACAGGAGCAGGACAGGAGTGCGAGTCATGTTACCAGGAGTGGGACAGGATAGGATTTTTTCTGTGGGACCAGGACAGGACAGGGGTGAAAATCCACTCCTGTGTCGTCCTCTAATTCACACCACATGTGGTACATGTGATGGAATAAAACTGTGTACACAGCGTCCCAGTTATATGCAAAAAAAGTATAAATTGTAAAGAAAAACATAAGATCTAAGATATGAACTAAGAAATACGCTAAACTAAGACTACACTAAGCATTAGTAGTACAAAAACAATACGCCGAACAACAGCAGCACGAACATGAGTCTGTGTGAGCAGATGAGTACAAATAAAGACAGCAGTATGAAATAAATCAGCAGCATGGATAATCAGCCGCACATATCAACAATCAAGTGGCGTTACAGTGACTTTTTCACAGTGATAATCCTGATTAGAGATTCATGAGTCTTAATTGAAGACTGAAGCTCAGTCCTCACCTCCTTCTACAGGTGTGCAGTGGAGAGCATCCTGTGCTCCAGCATCAACATGGAGGCTGCACAGCTGCAGAAAGAAAAGCTTTGCAGAGAGTGGTGAAGGCTGCACAGAAGATGTTGGAGTCAGTCTCCCCACCATCACAGACATCTACACCTCCAGATGCAGGAAGAGGGCCACCTGCATCATGAAGGACCACACCCACCCAGCACACACACTTTTTGCCTCGCTCCCCTCAGGAAGGAGGTTGAGGAGCATTAAGTGTAGAACCACTAGACTGAGGAACAGCTTCTACCCTGAGGCTGTCAGACTCATGAATCTCTAACTAGAATAATCACTGTGAAAAACCATATCATGTTGCTGCTGATCTGTTTCATGTTGCTGCTGATCTGTTTCAATGTTGATGTGTTCATGCGTGCACATCTGCTCACACAGACTCATGTTCATGTTTGTGCTGATGTTCAATGTTTTATGTTATGAGTGCTTAGTGTATATTTAGTTGATGTTTTTCTTAGTTCATATCTTAGATGTTATTACTGTTTTTCTTATACATTTTATTGTTGGATGTAACTGGGACCCTGTGGACAAAATTTCGCTCCACCACATGTACCACATGAGGTGCGAATGACAATAAAGAAACTCTGACTCTGACATTAAACTGGGAGAAAAGCTTGACAGTTCCTTCTCAGCTCATCACTATTCTGGAGGTGGAAGGGTTTCCCATCCTCCACATAATTCTGAATAGGAGGTCCAATCTCACTTCCTTTGTTCTGTTTGTGCACTTGCGTGTTAAGTAAGACGCACAGCCGCTCTGTGTAAATCTGAACAGCTGGTCCTTCATTTCAGAAATCAGTCCCCAGGACAACCTTTATCTCCCCAGTGCTTGTCTCACTGGCTATGCAAAGCTATTTCTCTAGCCTATTCAGCAGCTGGTCTTCCCCCTCCTGATGGACTCCGGGCTCATTCCACTAGAGGGATTTCAACCTCCACTGCGCTGCATGGTGGTGTGTCTGTACAGGACATCTGTTCCATGGCTTCCTGGTGATCACAGACCTCTTTGATCCATTTTTGCCTGCGTGATGTTTCCAATTTGTCTCTGACACACTCGGTTCTCAGAGTCCTGTCTGAACAGGAACAGAACAGTGAGATGCTTCCCCAATAAGAAACTCTGGATCACCACTGACCTGAAGGAACTGCTAAACCAGAAAAAAAGAGCCTTCAGGAAGGAAGACAGGGAATTATTGAGGAGTACACAGAAGCAACTAAAAGTCAAGATAAGAAACAGCAAGGAGGTGTACAAGAAGAAGCTAGAGAGCAAGCTCCAACAGAACAATATCAGAGAGGTGTGGTCAGGGATGAAAAAGATCACAGGCTTCAAGCAGAAGGAGGATCAGAAGGATGGAAGCCTGGACTGAGCCAATGAACTGAACATGTTCTTCAATAGGTTCAGTTCAGGAACAAGCTCAGCATCCTCCTCTCTTGCCCACAGCCAAACATACATACCACCCTCCATTGACCCAAGGCTGTCCTGTCACACCTCGAATACTGTATCTACCACCTCAGTCATGGACCCTTCTTCTACATATTGGTCTTCAACTAAATCAGAAGATGCTGATACCTCCTTTGCCTCAACCCTCTGCGTCTCCAGAAGTCAGGTGAGGAAGCAGCTGGAGAGACTGAACCGGAATAAGGCTGCAGGTCCAGATGGTGTCAGTCCCAGAGTCCTGAAGGTCTGTGCAGAGCAGTTCTGTGGGGTTCTGCAGCACCTCTTCAACCTTAGCCTGACCCAGGAGAAGGTTCCAGTGTTGTGGAAAACATCCTGCCTTGTTCCAGTCCCAAAGAAAACTCACCCATCAGTCCTCAATGACTATAGACCTGTTGCCCTGACATCCCACATCATGAAGGTCCTAGAGAGACTTCTGCTGACCCACCTAACTAGACAAACAAGCACATATCAGGACCCACTGCAGTTTGCTTATCAGCTTGGACTTGGAGTTGAAGATGCCATCATACACCTGCTTCAGCAAACTCACTGTCATCTAGAAAAGGCAGACAGCACTGTGAGAGTCATGTTCTTTGATTTCTCCAGTGCATTTAACACAATCCAGCCTGATCTGCTTTGTCAGAAACTTCAGAAGACTCAGGTGGAGGCCTCAACAATCGCCTGGATCAAAGACTACCTGACAAACAGACCACAGTTTGTGAGACTGAAGGGTTGTGTGTCTAACCAGGTGGTCAGTAGCTCAGGAGCACCACAGGGGACTGTACTCTCACCAATCCTTTTCACTCTGTACACCTCAGATTTCCAGTCCAAAACAGACTCCTGTCATCTGCAGAAATATTCTGATGACTCTGCAGTGGTCGGGTGTATCAGAGATGGACAAGAAGCTGAGTACAGGGAACAGGTGGACCGCTTTGTGGCATGGTGTGGAAACAATCATCTCATCTTGAATGTGAACAAAACAAAGGAGATGACTGTAGATTTCAGGAGAATCAGGAACAGGTCCAACACTATTTTCATCATGGGAGAAGAAGTGGAGGTGGTGGAGAAGTATAAATATCTTGGAGTTCACCTGGACAATAGAATGGACTGGAAATGCAACAGTGAAGCGTCTACAAGAAGGGACAGAGCAGACTGTACTTCTTGAGGAAGCTGAAGTCCTTCAGTGTTTGGAGCAAGATGCTGCATATCTTCTACAAGTCTGTTGTAGAGAGCGCTGTTCCAGAGTTCCTGTAGAAGCCACGATGCCTCGCTGTGACTCCACCCGGTGAAAACTTTATACTTCTGAGGAGGTTTGTTCTGTGGAACTAGTTCTCACGACTTCTGCCGAGTCGCAGCCGCCCTGAGGAGACGCTGAAAGGTAGCGTACCCGGGACCTCTTGACCGCCGCGGATTCATCCTCCGCCAAAGGTAAAGAGTCGCCATGAGCTTCACTACCAGTGTACCGCGGGCGAACTGCGCTTCAAAGGAGCGTGTTGTTCTGGTCTACAGACATACATTCTCATCCATCTTTTTCCTCTCCATTTAAACTCCTTCATTTCCCATCTTTAAAACTCTTCTATCTTGCCAGTAATTAATCCAGATATTTTCAGAAATGTCTGTTGTATTTTAGTTGCAAGTGAGAAATCATGGCCGTATGATTTCTCATTGTAAAGCTCATTAATTAAGCTGTGTTATTGCGTTCAATCAGAATAATCAAGTGTACAATGTTGATGTTAAATTTTGATTCTGTTAATAAATGACCACATTCATTTTGATGGGTCAAAGAAAATTAACGTCTCACGTCACTGTACTTCTAAACACAATATCTCTCTCACATATCTGTCAAGTAGCTCGAAAAAGAGAGAACCCGTCATTAAATATTGATTGTAGTGGAGCTTTTACGCTAACTAACCCTACATCACTACAAGTACGTAACCTATGTTATCCAAAGAGCGGATGTTTGACAGAAAGAGACAGGGTATTGGTAGACTGCAAGCCTTAGCTTTAGCTTTAATCCTTAATCCAAAAAAGTTAAATCTGGTCCTCTGGACATTCAAAAAACAAACAAAAAAATAAACATTTTTTAATGTAGAAATGTTTCTTCTTTCATCCGAGAGACTTCCTCAGTCTGAGGAGCTGTATTCAGCTCAGTCTCTTAAATAGCACCGTCTCAGAGTGGATCAACCAGTTTTGCTGCTGACAACCAAAACCAGCTGATCACATGCTCAAGAAGGACCATCAGCCTAACAATGGATCATTAGCGCAGTTGGAACTGGTTTGTTCCACTTTGGAGTAAGCTGTTTGGGTAAAGAATCAGTTTTGTGTTGTACGTTTCCTTGACTGATGAAGCCTTCTGGATGAAAGGTGAAACGTTTCAGAAAAAAATAAAATAAAATGTCCAGATGACCTGACTGAAAATTGTTGCAAGTTAGTTTAGAGTTTCTCCTCATTTTGAAAACAAAGTAACTTTGGCCACGAGCAGCAGGATGGGGAGCAGAGATGACGTGGTCCTCTCCGAATGTTCTGACAGAAACTGCCGAGCCCTAAAGTCAAGGTGGGTCAAATGATGTTCTGGTTCTGGTGTCACCATGCCATAGTCAACGTCCTAAGCCATGATCTGCATCATGCTGTAAAAGCATTGTGGATAATGTAGGCAGGTGATGTCACTGCAATTAAGCCAAGATTCAACTTGTCTGCTGGATTCCTTAGATAGAGAACTTTACTAATTGACTTTTATGCGAATGTTCCTGTAAAGTGCCCTGAGACAACTTTGCTGTGATTTGACGCTATATAAATAAACTGAATTAAATAAACTGAATTGAACTGTGTGGGTGTGGTTACCGTGGTTATCCGGTATAGTACAGTAATATACCTCCTCATATTTGCAGTCGGCCTCCTCTGCGATTAGTTTGGCCTCCCTCAGTTGCACCTCCTGCAGCTCCATCTTCTCCTCATCTTTCAGAGCTCGGTTCTCGATCACCTTCATCCCTCTGGAAGGACAGACAGGTGCATTAATCAGGACATCGCAAAGGTGTTTGTTCAGGCTTGACCCGCTAAAACACGTTGAGTCACTCACGAGAATTCAACCATCAACCTTCCAGTCACACATGAGAATTAGATTATCAGACCTGACATGTCAGGATCTAATAATCAGACAGACTGATTATCAGTCATGGTCTGATTATTAGACTGATAATCTGACTGACTATCAGTCCCAGACCCTGACATGGTCTGACCCTGCCAGGTCTGACAGGGTCAGACCATGTCAGGGTCTAACAATCAGACCTGACAGGACAGGGTCCGATTATCAGATGCACATATTGGTTGTCTGAAAACTCTGCAGTGGAATGCGTAGTATCGGTGCACACACCTCTCACTCTCATCAGCAGTCTTCTCCACCTCATCCAGTTTACGCAGGGCAGTAGCCAGTCGCTCCTGAGCCCGGTCCAGATTCTCCTCATTGAGCTGCAAGCGCCGGTTTAGAGACGACGCCTCCCCTTCCGCCTGCAAGAAAAAGTGGAGGTCAAATGGATACATAGCTGCTCTGTGTGAAGGAGCCGTGTTAACTCCCGGACTTCAGAACCTGAGGTGATACAAAAAGTACAGCAAGTGAACGCAGTACTTAAATCTGACAGACCTCACAGGGGTCCGTACTTCATGGTTCTCTTTGTGATTAATAAACTAAACTCAAAGATGCTGTGTGTCACCATTGATGTTCCAGCTGTAAACAACATGTTATTGTTTTGAGTTTTCTACATCACCTTACAACCTAGCTATTTGTTTTGCTAATTTTTTAATACCATTTTATTTTCACTTGTTATTCTCAATTTGTACACATCCTTTATGATTGTCCACTGTTGTCATCACTCTGTTAAAATCAGGTCTCTCTTGTAAATGAGTCTGAGGCTCGATGTGTCAGGGATCTGATGGCAGAGGATCCTACACACAAACTCAGAAAGGTTTTTAAAATGTTTAGAGGAAATAAACAGCTTCTGGTGTCTCAGGACCAGGGGCAGGAACTGTATCTAAAATGATACAGAGGAGAAAGGTTAGTGTTTGGCAGAATAACGAGTAGTTATCTGAATACAGACTGTCTGGTGAAATACTAACATTTTTGTTGTAATAGAGCGCTCCAGAAGAGAGACAGAGCTGCAGGTGTGACGCCACCGTGAGAGGTGACAGCTGAGGAGCTGAGCGGCTGCAGAGACCAAGGGAAGTCCAGAGGCGTAGTCGAGGGCGAGCAGGGTTCGTTACACGGGATCCGAAGAGGAGACATTACCGATAAGGAGAAGCAAAGGTGGAATCCAAAAAAAGGCGTAGGTCGTCAACAAAGTCAGATGGCTGAGGCACAAAAAGGGACAGAAAAAAGCGTGGTCGAGGGAAACAGGCGTGGGTCGAGATTCAAAAGCTGTGAACAAGGAGAGTACGCTGGATAACTGTTGCTGAAAGCGATCAGTTCATCTGGCAACGTAGTGAAGAAAGCGGGAGGTATATATACGCCCAGAAACAGGTGGAAACCATCAGCAGCAATCAGAGAGAGAGGTGTGGCATGCAAAGAGGCTGGCAGAAGCAGCTGAGGGGAAATCCCAGGAGAGCAGAGAAGGAAAAGTCAAACAGTGAACAGAGTGATGAGTAACAGGAAAAACAGGGTGTAAACTGTGACACAATGGGATTAACCTGTAGAAATAAAGGTTGAATGAATGAATGAATGTTATTTAATCTTTCACAGAGCAGCTGATCATTATTTAGATTGACAGAAGACTATGTTGAAGTAAAGACTGCGGATATTTATGATGAACTAAGAACACTTGACTCACTAACAAGAGGAAGTCAGGAGTTCAACGTAGAGACACCTTTGCTAGGAACTTGGTTGGACAAATGCACGACTTTTAGTGATGTGATCAATTCAGGAACTAAAACAAGAGAAACTGCGTGTCACGGTGAGAGAAACACTCAAAACGGGCTGTGGCTCATCGCTTCATAAGAAGAATTGATTCAGTTTGTACTGCACTTTACATTTTTCAATGTCAAAGTGCTACAATAGAAAACAGCTAGAGAGAATAAAACAGACTGAAAAACTAAAAACAGGAGGATTAAAAACACATTTAAACGCTATAAAATCTTTCACATAAAAAGGTCTTCATTTCTTAAAACTTTCTGTAGTCTGGGCTATCCTTAGATGGTCAGGGAGGTTGTTCCACAGACGAGGAGCAGCAGAGCAAAAGGCCCCAACACTGATGGTGTCGCCCATGGTTTCATCCATTGTGCTCAGTTTTGTCCGGGGAGGGCGGAGCTGGTGGGAATTTGTGGAGCGGAGGATTCGTGTTGACGTCTGAGCAGTGAGCAGTTCTTTAAGATGGTGTGGAGCATTGCTGTGAATGGATTGGTGGGTGAGTCGGGAAACATTGCATTCAATGTGGAGTGAAATGGGAAGCCAGTGCAGAGATTTAAGGATTGGGGTGATGTGGTCATGTTTCCTTTGCTTCATCAGAATCCTGGCTGCACTGTTCATACTGAAGTTTTTTAATGTGCTTGGATGGAATTCTGTAAAAAAAAAAGTGCATTCCAGTGGTCCAGTCTTAAGATCAAGGTTCAAGATTATTTATTGTCATTCATATCACATGTGGTACATGAGGTGGAACAAAATTGTGTACTCAAGTTCCCAGTTACACTCAAAAATAGCAAAAATATAAAGTATAAGAAGAAACGGTATACAAGGATCTAAGATATAAACAAAACACTAATAGTGTAAAATAATACAGTGCATTAAACAGCAGCCTGAACATGAGTCTGTTGTGAGCAGATGGGTATGAACACAGCAGCTTCATCCATCCATCCATCCATTTTCTTCTGCTTATCCGAGGTCGGGTGGAGGGAGTAGCAGCTTAAGTAGGGAGGCCCAGACTTCACTCTCCTCAGCCACTTGGGCCAGCTCCTCCGGGGGAATCCAGAGGCATTCCCAGCCAAGAAACATAGTCCCTCCAGCGTGTCCTGGGTCTTCCACTGGGTCTCTTCCTGGTGGGAAGTGTCCGGAACACCTCACCAGGGAGGTGTCCAGGAGGCATCCTAACCAGATGCCTGAGCCACACCTCAACTGGTTCCTCTCGACGTGGAGAAGCACGGCTCTACTCTCAGTCTCTCCCGGATGACTGAGCTTCTCACCCTATCTCTAAGGGAGAGCCCAGACACCCTGCGGAGAAAACTCATTTCGGCCGCGAGATCTCGTTCTTTCGGTCACAACCCAAAGCTCATGACCATAGATGAGGGTAGGAAAGTAGATCGATAGGTAAAATGAGAGCTTCGCCTTTTAACTCAGCTCTCTCCTCACCAAAACAGACCGGTTCAGCACCCGCTTTCACAGCCGACACTGCACCTATCCGCCTATCGATCTCACGCTCCATTTTTCCTTCATTCGTGAACAGACCCCGAGATACTAGAACTCCTCCACTTGGGGCAGGACCTCCTCCCCGACCCGGAGAGGGTACTCTACCCTTTTCCAGCTCAAGAATATGGCCTCGGACTTGGAAGAACTGATCCTCATCCCGGCCGCGTCACACTCAGCTGCAAACCGAAACAGTTAAAGCTGTAGATCACGACCTGATGAAGCCAATAGGACCACATCATCTGCAAAAAGCAGAGAAGCAATCCTAAGGCCACCAAAAAACTGATCCCCTCAACACCTTGGCTGCGCCTAGAAATTCTGTCCATAAAAGTTATGAACAGAATCGGTGACAAAGGGCAACCTTGGCGGAGTCCAACTCTCACTGGGAACGAGCCAGGCTTACTGCCGGCAATGTGGACCAAGCTCTGACACCGGTCGTACAGGGACCTAACAGCCCGTATCAAAGGGCCTGGTACCCCATTCTCCCAGAGTACACCCACAGGGCTCCCTGTGGGGCGCAGTCAAACACCTTTTCCATGTCCACCAAGCACATGTAGACTGGTTGGGCAAACTCCAACGCACCCTCCAGAACCCTGCTGAGAGTGTAGAGCTGGTCCAGTGTTCCACGACCAGGATGAAAACCGCACGGCTCCTCCTGAATCTGAGGTTCGACTTTCCTCTTCAGAACCCCTGAATAGACCTTACCAGGGAGGCTTAAGAGCGTGATCCCCTTGTAGCTGGAACACACTCTACAGTCCCCCTTTTTGAATAGGGGGACCACCGCCCCAGTATGCCAATCCAGGAGAACTGCCCCCAATGTCCACGCAATATTGCAGAGTTGCACAAGTCAACACAACCCTACAACATCCAAAGCCTTAAGGAACTCCGGGTGAATCTCATCCACCCCTGGGGCCCTGCACCGAAGAACCACCTCGGTGACCTCAGTAGGGCTGAAACGATTCCTCGAATCATTCGAGGACCTCGATTACAAAAAATCCTCAAGACAAATTTATCTGCCTTGAAGCTTTGTTAAACTATTCAGAGCACTGTGGTCTAGCTGGAAAGTTTTTGTGTTACACAATGCTAGCGCTTCTGCTAGCACTTCCGCTAACGCGTATGTGCTAAGTTTGTAGCTATGGAGGGAAAAGGAGAATGCTTAGAAGAAGAGCCCCGAAAACAATAAAAACTGTCTAAAGTTTGGGAACATTTTAGGCTAAACAGAAAAGACGACACAGCTCAATGCTTCCACTGCAAACAGAACTGGAGTAACCACAACAGCACGTCGTCCATGTTGCAGCGTCTGAAGAGAAAACAGCCGCTGCAACATCAAACTCGTCCACAGCTCTAACGGGTATCATGTTCTCTGTGCAAAATACGTTCACCTAAATGTGATCATCTGTCATGTTATAGATGTAAAATGAGGCATATTTTTGCTAACGTTAAATCTACTGACTAATCAAAGTGGCTTCCTGGCAGAGTCTGTACGTTGTGTGAGGAAAGAAAAACTCTGCAGGACTTGATGCAAGTTTGTTAAAGATCAAAGCAGCAACAGACTGACACATTTATTTATTGCTGAACTTCCATCCTGACTTAATGAGATGTTTAGGGTGAATATTTCAAGTGTAAATGTTTTTACATAAGATAGTCGTTTTTTTCTTCTTGCTGCTGTTTATGACTGAAAACTGGGATTAATCTGCATTTATTACTGTTATATTTGTTTATAGCTCAGCAATCAAGACTAAATAATAATAGTCTGCAGAACTCAAACTTTACATCATCTATCTTACTCAGTTTCTAACATAAAGATTCCTTCAGTTTTACAATCTATAAAAATTATTTATAGCATTTAGATTTTTCTGCGATGGTTAAAAATAATTCAGTGACAGAGGGTTTTAATTAAATCATCCTCAAACCTCACATAAATAAAATGCATAAATCTAATACACCTGACACTAATGTTACTTTGATTGCAGCAGGTCATCAGAAAGTGTAGATTACTTGACAATATTAAATAATTATATATCCAGTGAAGTACACTTGAAAATGTATTAAGGCGTAACAAACAAACTAATGATAATTTTCTTCTTCTTCTGTTCAGTGAATGTCAGAGTCGTACGTTGGA